TTTTGCCTGCATGTATGTCTGTCTGTGCACTACATGTAGGTAGTACCTGTGGAGGCCAGAAGAGGGCAGCAGGTTCCCCTGGAACTACAGTCACAGACAGCTGTGAGCTACCATTGTAGGTGCTGGGAATCGAACCCAATCCTCTCAAGAGCAAGTAGGTGCTCTTAGCCACTAAGCCACCTACGGGTTCATTCCTCAAGATTCAGATCACCCACATTAATAGTCTTCTCCAACCTTCGGGAAGTTTGACTTCCCTGTCCCGTGTGTCCCACTTCCCCCAGCACCTCCTCACACCCTGGTCACGGCTCCGCTCTCTTTGCATCATCGTGCAGTGCAGAGCCGTGCCCACGCCGGCACTTCTAGCGAGCAGGCTTTCTTAACTGTCCTAACCTTGTCCTCACGTTGCCCAACCCCACATGTACCATAGCCTGCGCCTACGGGCATTCAGTCCACGCTCGGCATGAACAGAATCGCAACACACTCAACCCGCGTAAGAGCCGCTTCACCCCGCCGCCGCCGCAGTCAGCTCGGCTGCCCAAACTCTGACCCACGCGGACAGATCCTAACTTGCCCACAGTGCAAACACTCTGTTCCTTTCCTGAAGACGTTTCTGAGCTGTTGTCATCGTGACCTCCACCCCCACCCCTGCCACTCTGCCAAACACCAGCCAACACGTTCGCTGCCACGAGATAGAAGGACTCCGCTTTGGCTTGGCCCCTGCCCTACCCGGTGGAGACAGTCAGAGGAGGGAGGATCGCCGGGCCAGACACAGCTCACCTGGAACTCTGAGAACCTCCTGGGTGGGGCTGGGATTTTTTTTTTTCATGCTCCCCAATGACATGTCTAGCTCTAGGGCTGGGCTGGAGCAGGTTGTTTTTCTGTTATTCTCTCAACCTCCTTGGGCAGCACGCGGCAGGAGACATTTGTAATCTGCCGGTTCCTTCCTCCTCCTCCTCCTCCTCCTCCTCCTCCTCCTCCTCCCTTCTGGAAGACGGGCTCCGCAAACACAGAGAGAGGAGCCGACCATGAGCAGAATTCTGTTCTGGAGCTTCAGGCAGAGCCCAAGGTCCAAAAGAATCCAGTCCATCCATACCAGTAGTCATCATCTTAAAAAAAAAAAAAATCAAAGTCTCTGTCATCAAGGAGCCTCCAATCTAACAATGGGGAATGAGATAACAAGTACAGACCTAGCCCCCGCCCCCAGGGGCTCCTTGTTTGTTGAGATAAGATCTCATTCACTATGTAGCTCTGGCCTGCCTGGAACTTGCTATGTAGACCAGGCTGGCCTCAAACTCAAAGATCCACCTGCCCCTCCCCAAGTAGTTCTGAAGGTCACGTGACCATCCTTTCACTCAGGACACACCAGTGGACTGTGGGAGGCAAGAGACATGCACAGAAGCATCCCGCAGGAACCACAGCACAGGCTGCTCCCCCACACGGAGCCAGCCCCACCTGTCCGCCCTTTAGAGACACCCCCTTGTTCTTCCGTTATCAAGGATGGCAACACGAACGTGATCCCTTCAAAACTGTCCCCTTGAATTTTCCCTAACTCTAACCAGAGACTCGCAAGGCCCAGGGATCCTTCCCGCATCCCTTCCTCACCCACCCGCTTCCTTCACACATCAAGACTGCTCTCCAGGCAGGCCTCCTGGTGGCACTCGCTTTTAATCCCAGCACCCCGGAAGCAGAGGCAGGCAGATCTCTGTGAGTTCAAGGCCAGCCTGGTCTACATAGCAAACTGCAGGCCAGCTGGGGCTACATAGTGAGACCTAATTTCTCTTCTCTCTGAGTCTCGCCCCAGCCTCCTTCCCTCTCTCTCTGTTCCCTGTCAGAAATGTCTGAAGACTGCTCCAATAAATCAGTGCCTTTCTTACAGCACAAAAGGGGACCGGTAAATAACTGGTAAATGAATCTTTTTTTTTTTTTTTTTTAAGAACTGAGTAAGCCATCCTAGAATGTTCTCCAGTGAGCAGAGAGAGAAGAAAGACAAGGAGGGCCACACACTGCTGACTTCCCTTCTGCTCAGGAAATAATGCCCCGTTTAGTCTCCCACAGCCACCGTATAAAGGTGACTCAAACATCCCCACTTGATACATGGAAAGGCTGAGCTTAACCAGGAGCCCTTGGCCAAAGCTTGCCAGGAGCGGAAGGGGACAAGTGTCTCCACATTTGCGCAGGGAGGTAGAACTCAGAGAGGACAAATAGCCCTGTCCCTAGCCCACATAGCCTCTGGGTGTTTGCAGTGAAGGGGATATGGTGACTCAGGGACTTGGGAGGACGCTCGGAGGGGAGCGTCCTCCAGGGTGTGGTGAACTCTTCTTAATTCTGCAGGATGTGCATGTGTTTGTATCTCTGTGTCTCCAGGGAGGCAAAGTGACCAAAGGGAATTCCCGTCGGGCCCCTGGTTCCTACAGCTCACTGGAGGACGTTCCACAGAGAAGCACTCATCCTGAGGAGGCTCAGGAGGCTGGTGAGGCATCCCCAAGGTGAAGAAAAGTGTGCACAGACTCTATGAAGGTCAGAATGGCCCAGGACATCCAGGGACAGCAGACAATCTGAGAGTCTATAGGGTGCACTCATCAGGATGTTGTTACGGAGCATGCGGCTCTGCCTCCGGTGGTCCTGCTTCAGCAACGTGAGGCCCAAAGAAGTTTCTACCCTATAAGCGAGTCAAGGTCAGGTTACTGGCTTTTTGTGACACCTCACCACCGGTCCAGCTACAAGGGGGTAGACGGGCCACCCAAGAATGGTGCCTCGGAGAGACTTGAACATCAAGAGACTCTGGTCTCTGGATTTTGGTTCCTCAGTATAGACCCAACGGAAATTCGGCTTGCTTGTGTCCTTGGGGCAAGCAGGAGAAGACTCCAGGTCTCTCCATGGATTAAAGCCCTGCCTTCTCTCTGAGGCCACATCCACCAATCACCACTCCATTCTGTTCTCTGAGCCTTATGATCTTTCCATTGCAACTGGGGTGGCTCTGCCCTGTCCTTCTAGAAGAGAGAGTTTAAAGCTCCACCATACCCTCTGAACTTCCCATGGCCTCTTGTGCACCTCTGGGCCCCCGTGGTCATTTTGCTTATCTACACTCAGGAGCCTGTGGCTCCTGGTATCCCCAGCAGTCAGGAACTGTCTCAGAGTAGCTGCTGGCTTCTTTTGGACATTCGTAACCATGGTAGAGGGGGATGGGTAGACATGAAAATGCAGTAAGATCAGGAACGGAGAGAATGGTGTCCCCTGAGTGTGCAGCTCAGGCTGGTGAGTCTGGACAGCAGCCTGGGGATGAAATGTTGGGGCTGCTTCTGATCCCCTCGCTGGTCACTGGAAACTCTCCTCCCTCTCTGTGACTCTTAACCCTCCCCGAAGGTCAGCTGACCAGTCCCTAAAGCATGCCTGTGAAGCGGAGTGCGGAGCCAGATGCCAGAGAAGAGAATGACAAAGATCGGTCCTCTACCCGCAAGGTGGACAGGAAAGGAAAAGCCAGCTGGAGACCAGACGCTCCAGGTCTGACCTAGACCATTAACACTTGACCTGTTCACAGTCTCAGCGGGGAGTGGGCCTGGGCTTCCCGGGGTGCCGTGGGCAGGATGGGCTCTGATGAGGAAGCACTCTTCCATACTCCGAGCTGCCCGCCCTGTCCCCCACAGATGAGCCCCTCAGAGTCACAGATAGCCCTCAGTATCAGGGACGTGCATCAGGGCAGGGGCTGGAGGTCCTCTAGCCCACCCACACCTACTGCCCTCACATTGCCAGCAAACACTCCTGGTGGGCGCCTAGGAGCCCCAAAGCTATGGAGCATCCATTACCCTGCAGAGCTCCCACCCCAAAGGGGAGACTCCGACCTTTCTCTGGGATGGGGTGGGGGGCATGGCTGTTAGGTTTCTGCATTCACAACCTCAGGGCTTTGCTACCAGCCCTTCCTCCAGGGAAGGGTGCGGGCCTGCCTGCGTGGGAAGGGCGGAGGCTCCATGAGTAATCAGGTTACAGAGGAATGAACTTCCAAGAATGTGAGTCAGAGGCAGGAAGAGGAAAGGGGGACCGAGTCTGGATGCCCCTCTCACTGGCTGGGGCAATTCAGTGGACCCGGATCTCCAGGAACAGCCTTCAGCCCTAAGGAATAGGTCTTTGCCAGGGCATGGGGGCATGCCCCAGGAGATACACAGAAGATCCCTAGCACCAAGAATCCTGCAAATTTCAGTGGTGGTGGGTGGGTGGGTGGGACCTTAATGGCGGCTTTCCCAGGATCCTGTTCTCACTGCTGCATATGAAAGAGAACTTCTGCTAGCCTTGTGCCTTTGGCACGTGCAGTCTGGACCTATTTCAGGACTTTGCACTTTCAACTTGTCTGTCCTGCCTTTAGGTTGTCTTCCCAGTAGAACAGACAGCCAATGGTGGGGAGGCAAAGTCCAGCAATACCCTGGGGCTCCCTGGGGCAGACTCCTGAGTGTACCCACTGAACACATGACCTCCTAAGCACAGGATGGCTCCAAGCCAGTCATGTGCCTGGAATTCCTCCACCACCGCCCTGACCCGGCTCTCTTTCTGAGCAGTTACAGCCTTGGAACCTGGCTCCTCATGTGACCTTTTGCTCTATCTGTTAGCATTACTTACTCTACAGCAAAGGGCTTTTCAAAACACAGGCTCATCAGTGCCTATTCAAATGACCTGTGGCAGCGGCGCAGGGGTGGTGCATGCCTTTAATCCCCGCACTCGGGAGGCAGAGGCAGGCAGGCGGATCTCTGTGAGTTCGAGACCAGCCTGGGTTACAACCAGGCCTGTTTCACAGAGAAATCCTGTCTCCAAAAACCAAAAATAAAACAAGTGTTCTGTTGCTTCCCATTGCTCTGGGGATAAAGACAAAATGTCTAGTCTAGTACACAGGGGCTAGCCCAGGCTACCTCCTTAGCCTCATTTCACTGTGTGTGTGGGCTCCACGGGGTTTGCTACAGCCCCTCAAGCAGGCCACCACGGCTCCTCCCTACCTCAGGACCTTTGCCCATGTGCCTGTCGCCACTAGCGAGCTCCTCCATGTATACCTCTTTGCTTAGCTAACACTTACTATCTTCAAGGTTTTGGTTGGTTGGTTGGTTGGTTGGTTCTTGTTAATTGGGGGATACTCCAAAGTCAGGCCCCTTGTGTTCAAAATGTAACCTTTTCTTCCGAGCATCTTCTTGGTCTATGATTATGCATGTTCATGGTTATTCCAGCACAGTTAGTCAAGCTTCCATCCCTCCCTCTTCTGTCCTAATAAGCACCAGCCGGATGTGAACCAATACCCAACCCCAGTCCTGCCCTCTGCTCTCCTCCAGCCTTAGAGCCTGACCCAGAAAGTCCTTGCACCCCAGGAGGCTTGGATTTGGAGAGGGCTCAGTCCAACCAGTCAGCTCTCCCTCGTGCCAGAGACATGGAGGGGAAGAAGCAGAGGGAGGAGCCGTGGAGCAGAGTCACCTAGAAAAAGAAAGCCAGAGATTATTTGGGGAGAGAGATAAGGTGGTCAGAAAACAGGAAATGATCAGCCAGAGCTGTTGGCTGGGGCAGGACAGTTGAGAATTAAGGCTCCAGATCAAAGGCACCGGAACCGCCCGGGTTTTCTCAGAAACGGAAGACTCTGATCAAAGCCACACTTTCCCCGCCTGGGTGAGGTAGGCGATTCATTCACAGATTCACTTAATCATTGGTATTGGAGCGTATTAGAGGGCCAGTCAACAAACATTGATTGAGCACCTGTCTGTGAGCCAGGCACTGTGCTGTGCCCTGGGGATGTGGCAGGGAGTAAAAATGATCCTGCCTCTATTCTCCTGACTGACTTCACGAGCGTTAGCGTCTAGACAGTTTCAAGCCACCATCTGTAGCCCCGGTCGTGAGTCACAGCCAGCATTTAAAAAAAAAACAGGGGCTAGAGCAGTGGTTCTCAACCTGTGGGTCGCAATCCCTTTGCGGTTGCATATCAGATATCCCGAATATCAGATATTTACATTGTGATTCATATCAGTAGCAAAATCACAGATATGAAGTAGCAACGAAGTACTTTTTTTTTTTTTTTTTTTGTTTTGTTTTGTTTTTTGTTTTTGGTTTCTTTTTTTGGTTTTTCGAGACAGGGTTTCTCTGTGTAGCTTTGAGCCTTTCCTGGAACTCACTTGGTAGCCCAGGCTGACCTCGAACTCACAGAGATCCGCCTGCCTCTGCCTCCCGAGTGCTGGGATTAAAGGCGTGTGCCACCACCGCCCGGCCGCAACAAAGTACTTTTATGGTTAGGGGTCACCACAACATGAGGAACTGTGTTAAAGGGTCGCAGCATTAGGAAGGTTGAGAACCACTGGACTAGAGAGCTCAGTAGTTTAGAGCATGTACTGCTCTTAGGAAGGACCTGGGCTTGGTTCCCAGCATCCATGTAGGGTGGCTCACAACTGCCTGTAACTCCGCTCTAAGGGATATGATGCTCTCTTCTGGCCTCCACAGGTACCCGCACCTAAATGTGCACACACACACACACACACACACACACACACACACACACACACAACTAAAAACAAACATTTTGCAGTTTTTTTTTTTAATGTGTATGGGTGTTTTCCCTGCATGTATGTCCGTGTATCACATATGTGCCTGATGTCCTTGGAGGCTAGAAGAGGACATTGGATCTCCTAAGGCTGGAATTACAGACAGTTGTGAGCTGCCCTGTGGGTGCTGGGAATTGAACCCAGGTCCTCAGGAAGAGCAGCCAGTGCTCTTAACCGCTGGGCCATCTCTGCAGCCCTCTGGCATTTTAAAGCTATCATTTCTTTTGTTTTGTTTTGTTTTTCGAGACAGGGTTTCTCTGTATAGTTTTGGTGCCTTTCCTGAAACTCACTCTGTAGACCAGGTTGGCTTTGAACTCACAGAGATCCTCCTGCCTCTGCCTCCTGAGTGCTGGGCTTAAAGGCGTGCGCCACCACCGCCCGGCTAAGCTATCATCTCTTAAATGTCTCACCCCATCACTCCCTCAGCCCTCCAGCTGCCCTCCTGCTCTAGCAGACCATCACTGAGAGTCAAGATAAATTTTCCCAAACACACATCTGGTTGGGTCCTGCCCAGCTTGAAATCCCTCAGGTCTCCCTACTCCTCTGAGCACAAAGTCCATGGTCCATGAAGATTGGGATAGATGTGTGATCTGCCCAGATGACTTAGGATGAGTTGCTTCCCATTAAGACTGGGTGCTTTCATCTCTAAGCAGACAACTTAATATCGGGTCCATTCCATGTCAACCAGTATGATTCTAGCCGGATCTAATGCTACTTGAGAGGTGGGTGAGAGAATTGGAAATTCAAAGCCAGCACAGACAACTTAGCAAGATCCATCTTAAAAATCACTTCTTTTTAAGGCCTAGGGATGTTAGTCAGTGGTAGAGTGCTTTCCTAGCATGCCAAAGTCCCTGGTGGTACATATTTGTAATCCCAGCACTGAGGAGCAGGAAATATGCAGGATCTGAGGGTCACTGAGCAGCCAGCTTAACCTACTTGGTGAATTCCAGGCCAAAGAGAGCTCCGTGTCAACAACAACAGAAAGGTAAATGACCCTCGAGGAAGGACACCTGAGCTTGTTCTCTGACCTCCACGGCCACTCCCACCCTCCATACACGTGTGCTTGCACATGCACACATAAACACAGACACGGGACAGAAGGTGGGGGGAGGAAAGGAAGGGGGAAGGAAGAAGAAAGAAGACAGTGGTGTGGGGAACCCTAATTCCAGCCGGAACCCTACCAAGAAACAAGTCTGACACCCAATTAGGGACCAGTGGCTTGTGCAGAAAGAGCGTACCATTGGGGGGTGGCTGCTCCTCCCTGCTTCTCTCCTTAGTGCCTGTCACTGTCCCCTCACCCTCCCTCCGTCTCCCGGTCTGTAAAGAGAAAAGCTATCAAATCCGGAAAGTACCTGGAACAGTGTTTGCTCTCTGAGTGATGCTCTTCTTGACCCCGAGGAGCTGGCTAAGGGCTCCCCTAGCTCAGCCCATGGGGCCTGAAAAGACTGGCAGAATCTACCCTTTCCCTCCTATCATTCCCGGCTGTGGCTCTTCTCTCCTGGCCAATGTCAGCGCCTCACATGGGTCTGGCTGAGGGCCGAATTGGCCAGGTGAGTGTGGCCGATCACAGAGGTGACCACCCAAGATCCCAGACCAGAGCGGCAGGGCTTGGATCCATGCTGAGGTCTGGGGACCCCAAATCCAAATACCCTTGTCACAAAACAACCACCA